AAAAAAAAAAAATTTAGATTGCTTTTACATATATATTTTTCTAGTGAAGTAAGCTAAGGAAAACATAAATTTGCTTCTATGCTACATTTTCCAGATAATATATATTATTATTAGTGTAACATGAATTATCTTATATAAACTTTAATGGTGTAAAATAATTTTTTGGAAAAACTAAGCAGGATTTGTCATTACTATACAAAATTAAAATTGACACTTTAATTCCTGTATTACTTCTGTAGTTAAGAGAAAATCCTGAATTCTTTGCTTGGTTGACTTTCTAGAAATTAAGATTTAAGAGACTTGAGCCCACTTGAAATGACTCTGCTTTAGCTGAATCACTTAATGTCAAAATCTTATTTATTGGTATTGGAAGATTAGGCTAAAATATTTGAAAAATTCCATTCAGCTTTAAAATCCTGTGATTCTCTGATTTTTTTTTTTTTTTTAAGCTTTGTTTTCCGGAAAGTTCGAAGCTTGCTAGGTGGGAACACCCGGCTTCTGTTGTGTGGTGGTGCTCCCCTTTCGGCAGCCACTCAGCGGTTCATGAATATCTGTTTCTGCTGTTCCGTCGGTCAGGGATATGGACTCACGGAATCTTCTGGAGCTGGAACAATTACAGAAGGTAGAGTTATCCATAAAGCAGAGGCTGAGGGCCCTCTGCAGGCATTTTTGGGAAATGGGTTCTTTCCTGCAAACATGTAGGAGAATTGTAGTTAAGGTGGTCATGGAGCAGAATAATGGTTAATTTCAAGTCCTGGGATTATTTGGTAGCAGTTTTTAGAATCTGTCGGGTACATTAGTAGTACGTGCAAAGGAGCTTTTCATATTGAGTTATGATGTGTAATAAAAAGTTGGCATTCTGGAAAAGAAGTTTTAACAATATAAATCTATGCTCTCATGTTAGTTATTAAGCTTTCTTTTATGCAAAAAAAAAAACACAGTTTGTATCATTGAGATTTGTGTTTGTTAAGGTTCTTTCAGAAATGTTTATGGGGGTTCTGGGCAAGTGGAGAGAGACTAGACCGAGGTCTCCATCATTTCCCATCATGGGGCGCAGCCGAAGCACAGTTCCTTCCCAGGTGAACCAGTAAGCACCCCACGTGCCCTGTGTGGAGCAAGCTGACTTGGCTTCCATTACTAGAAAGAGTGGTGATTCTGCTCTGTGCTTTGTAGCTATTGGTGAGGTGTGAGACCTCAAAATCGTTACTTTCCCCTGTTTTATCTTGCGTTCTTTGGCAGGTTTGCCTTTAAATTGCTTCAGTAGGGTTCTGTTTTTAGTTAGCAAGATTTCTGAGTTTTGCAGTAATTTCTTACGTTTTTTAAGATTCAAACTGAATGTCTGATTAGTCATAATCTGTTACAAATGAAAGTCTGTAAAGTACTAAAGGTTGGGTTTTTATTTTTGATATTTGAGCGATCTGGAAAAGGAAACATAATGCAATAGACATTTAAATAGTGGTGGTTTCTTTTCGTAGCTCCGAAAGTTGACCACCACAGTATTCAGCCTTGAACCCCAATTGCCTGAATTTAAATGGGGTGTGCTCGCATAAGCTGATGTGAGGGAGGCTGCCATTCATGGGAGGTCCATTGGAGAGTCATGGCACACAACTGCTGTGGGCCTGGTGGAGGGATGAGGCGAACCCTGCGCGCTCACCCTGTCGGCTGGGCTGCTCAGTCCCTCGCTCTCCTGCCAGGCGGCCGCTTTGAATGAGTGGTTTGGGCCCTCAAGGAAGAAAATGTTGGATAGGATTTGAGGGGGGACCTGGCTAGCAGGACCTCATTGTGGCTGTGCTGGAAATGTAGGACCCTTGTTGCTGGAGCTGCCATCCTTACCTGGGAAATGTCTGGATTTTTAACTGTCAGTGACCAGTTCTGATTAAATGAAACCGCGAGGGCCAAAGAGCCTGGAGTTGACTCATTTGTGAAACCTGCTCTTAGGCTTCGCTGGGGATATCAGACTCTGGAGAAATTGTCATTGTTGGTAACTGTTGTCATTGTTGGTAACTGAGAACAGTGGAGTGGTCTGCTCCATCCTGTGACCATGCACCCTCTCTTTGCTTGCCTCTCAGTGTGGGACTACAATACTGGCAGAGTGGGGGCGCCGTTAGTTTGCTGTGAAATCAAATTGAAGAACTGGGAGGAAGGTAATAACCCGTGTTGACATCAAGCACTGTGTTTTATAACGTCCAGCTTTAAAATTAGTGTGGTCCTTCATTTCGTTATTTTAAACTACAGGTGCTCACTTTTGTCCTTTATAATAGAAAATTTTTATCTAGAGCTATGTAAATTGTGTATTTTGCTTGCTTCATTCTGAAAAATTTTAATTGTTCTTATTTTGCTCATATTGTATTACATAACTGTGCAAAGTAAGAATTACGACAAATGCGTGAAATGTTAATAATGTTAAATTAGGAAAATTAACTTTCCAAAGTAAAATCAGAAAATTTATTTTATAAAACTGAAGATTTTTACATGTTTTAAATATTTTTTTCTTTTCCCTGAGAGCTTTCAACCCAGAATTTTCAGAGGAAAATTTTTACTGTAATTCTATAAAAATCTGTTATTTATGCCATTTAAATACTAATACTACTATAAGATTTCATTGGCTCTTTGCAACTTGTATAAAGAGTACGTATGATTTGTTTGCATTTATTTTTACACAAAGTAAAGATTAGGATTCTAAGGTTTGGCTGTGGTTTTCCAGGTATCTTTTAGCAGAGTTGGTGAAGGTGTTTAATAGGTTTAGACTTGGAGTTATTTTGAAATTATCTGTAAGGAATAACCTTGTAATGTAATTTCCTTTTATATATATAATTAATTATTAATTATAATGTAATATTTCTATCGGTATATTGTATAATATTTAAGAATCTACAGACTTAAAGTCATCGCCTTTGAATTTTAAAAATTGTATAACAAATCAAAATTGCTTGATATTTGAGTATAACTTTCTTGGAATAGGAACATATGGCTAAGCAACTAAAATTTTGTACTAGATTTATAAGACATTTCATTCACAATTTCCTTTGGGAAATTGACTAATGTCAGTTGTCCTTACTAAGCAACTGAGAGTTTGAAATTTTCATATATTGTGTATAGGCATGAAAGTAATAGAATTAACTTTTCAAAATTCTGTGTGCACTAGGTGGATACTTTAATACTGATAAACCGCACCCTAGGGGTGAAATTCTTATTGGTGGCCAAAATGTGACAATGGGATACTACAAAAATGAAGCAAAAACAAAAACTGATTTCTTTGAAGATGAAAATGGACAGAGGTGGCTCTGTACGGGAGATATTGGCGAGTTTGACCCTGATGGTTGTTTAAAGATTATTGGTAAAGCATCTAATATTTTTTGAAAGTGGATGTTTCTGCAGTTGTACAAAAGAGATACTGTGTAGTTAGAGAAACTATTTAATAATGTGAAAGAGTCTTACATGCCACTTCTTGTGTTCATTAGATGTGGCCTCACAGTTCCTCTTTCCTGCTGCAAACCCTTTGGTGGTTTCTGGGAGCTCAGTCAGGAACCTGCCCCCTTCCTCCCTGCTGGCTCCAGTTGGGCTTCTTCCCTCCCAGTTCAGGGTGTGGGAATTCCAGTGCACAGACCTCTGGCTTTGCCAGTGCGCTCCGCTCAGGTTCCCCTCAGGACTCAGGTCAGCCTCACCGCAGGAATTCTTTCCACATTAGTGGACTGGAGGGTCTCAGCCCTGCCCTGATGTTTTGAAGTAGTGCCATTTGCCCTCATGCTTCTCTCCAGAGAGAATGTGAGTGTTCTGGTGGCTGTGAGTACATCTTCACCTTCCTGGTGGTATTGCCAGGAACACACTGTTCAGCAGATGAGGCTCATTAGTCAGAAGCTAATTTTTGGTAAGAATGTGATGGTGTTTTTAATGTTATCCTCCATATGTGCCCTCTGCCACCTTTGTTTTGTACAGATCGTAAAAAGGACCTTGTAAAACTTCAGGCTGGAGAGTATGTTTCTCTTGGGAAGGTAGAGGCAGCTTTGAAGAATCTCTCATTAATAGATAACATCTGTGCTTATGCAAACAGGTAAGAAAGTGGGAATCCTGCTTTTATGTAAACAGTTGGTGTGTGGGGTATGTATTGGCCGCCTTGGTATGACAGGACTCTTCCTTCTTGTTTGTTGTCTCTGGGAGAAGCCTCTTCTCATTACAGCTGTTGGCTCATTCTTCCCTCGTGGTACTTCTCCCCCCCCTAACGTCGTGCACTGTTTTCTGCTTTTATGTCTCATTACAGTGTCCTGTGTGTGTGTGTGTGTGTGTGTGTGTGCGCGCGCGTGTGTGCGCGTGGGATGGGGGAGGTGGCGGGGGGAGTGCCAAGAAAATAAATCCTCCTTATTGCCACTTTGGTACTCTTACCACCTGTCCCTCTGTGGAGGGAAGCCTTGCAGGACTGGGCTAGAGGGAAGGGGAGTAAGAAGAAAGTTGGGGTGTAGGAGTCTTACTGCTCGCTCTAAACTTGAGCCTATTGGGATCCTGTCCAGGCCTGAGAGCCTCTACCATCACAGGCCATCATTTGCGTATGATGATATAGAGGCAGCTGGGAAGGAGAGTTTAATGTTAAGATCTCAGAAATGTCTGCTCTGGAAATGTGTTAAATTTCAGATTCTGCTCTGATTGCACTTTTCTGGAACAGCATTGCCTGAGGTAGTTCTTCTCCAGTGTTAAGGAGCAGATCACTTGTGGTCAGCCTTGAAACCTTACTAGGGCAGCGGGCATGCTTGTTATGGACAACCAGATCTGATCTCAGAACCAGTTTAGAGTCAGACTTGTGATACAATCCAAGGCAAAGCTGTGTGCTTTAATTTGGAAATGATTCTGGCCTTTAATCGGCCACATGAGGAGTCTTCCTTAGTGACCCCGTAGCTCTGGATTGTGATTCTTCGCTACCTGACGCAGTGGCCATTTCTTTAGTTGCTGCCCCTCAGCAGGGACACACCAGATTCGTCTGTCGGCCTGAATTCTCATGATAACAAAGGAAAAACATTTTCACCATATAAAAAGTAAAAATAATAATTTGTGTGTGCTGCCAGATTTCTTTATCTGCAGTTTCTGGTTTACATTAACTTCTGTTTAACTGGCTGCTATGAATTACTGAAGTTTTCCAAAGTGAATTTTCCACTATTTGTCATTTCTTTTAAAAAGGTACATGGTACTATTAATAGCAGTTATACATAGTTGATGTTTATTCTGAAATGTCAGATTAAGGTTTATCTGGCAATGAACTCTGCCGAAACCTTGTAATGTATTGTGAATCAGATGGTAAAACCAGCCAGTACTAAATATACTTCATTATCTCTAAAGTAGTAAAGAGTGGATTGGTATTTAATTATTAAAATAGTCATAACTGCAGCTCACTAGCACCACCACCCAGTTCCTGAGCTCAGTTTCCTTCCTGTATTTCAGTTACCATTCTTATGTCATTGGATTTGTCGTGCCAAATCAAAAGGAGCTAACAGAACTAGCACGGAAGAAAGGACTTACAGGGACCTGGGAGGAGCTCTGTGACAGTCGTGAAGTGGAAGATGAGGTCCTTAAAGTGCTTTCTGAAGCTGCTATTTCAGGTGAGTGGAGTGAGCCTGTTATACTGTGTCATTTCCTGCTTAGAGACCAGTAGCATTTCCATACCATTAGTAGAAAGAACACGTTTACCAGTCTTTCATTTGAGTCTCTGCGGAGCACACAGTCATTCATTCCAGCAGACTGAGGTACTAGTGCAGAGTGCACTCGTCTCCACAGCCTCTGTCATGACCTTTCCTTCAGCTGTCTCCATTGCTCCAAGGCCCTACTCAGCTTCTTGGTGACCCCCGCCGCAGCCAGCTGTACAGGGCTTTTGGGAACAGTCCACATTGTTAGTGGACTAGTAGTTGGTTGTACTGATGTTTTATACCTCCTCCCGCTCCTTTTGTGCAAAAGGGCAGCAAGACTAGTTTAATACTTGTGGTTTAGTAAAATAGCTGTGATTTGAGCCATCAACATTAACTATAAGACAGGTGTGCATTTTTAATCTTGTTGTATATGTTGATCAAATTATGTGAACTAGAAATTGCATTGTTATGACCCTATAGTTCATCATTAATTGTCTGGTGTTAAGTCAGCTTGAACATAGTTCTCAACATTTTTGGTAATTTAAAACCTTGGATGGATACTCAATTGAGTTAATAGGCATTAGAAACATAATTTCTAAGTAAGTAAAAATACTGTGACATTGATAATTAAGCATAATTTTAAGTTTACATGCTTTTTTGCATCCATATTTAAAATTTTTATTTAAAAATATTTTAATTGAGAGAGAATTCATGTATGATATAGCAGAATTTTACTTCTGTTACCATAATCAGTTTTAGAATATTGTCATCACCTCAGAAAGAAATTGTGTTCATTTAGCAGTCACCCTCACGGGACCTCCAACCTCCTAGCCTTGTTAGCCGCTGACACACCTTCCATTTTTCTAGCTTTGTCTGTAAAGAGAATCAGACAGTACATGGTGTTTTGTGACTTAATGCTCATTCTTGTCAGAGTGTTAGCAATTGTTCATTCCCTCTTGCGACCAAATATTATTTCATCCTGTAGGTGTATATTGCATTTTGTTTCATTAACTGATAGCTGCCGAGGTTGTTTCCACTTTGACTGCCACAAACAGCGCTTCTGGGAGCACTGTGCACACGTCTGTGTGGGCATACGTACCTACGTGGCATAGGCGGAGACCTGGGAGCAGGGCTGCTGGACTGGGCTTGACTTGACTTAATTTGGAGCCTCTTGAACAACTACCAGACTATTTTATTCCATGTAGTTTTGAGACATGGTGGCGTTATTGTACACCCTGCTGTTGCTGGGCCCCACTTACCCACGGCCTTGCCAAATGTCCATGCCTGATCTGGTCCTCCCGGTGGTAGTGAAGCAGGTTTGTGTCTCCCTGGTGCTTGATGGCTGAGCATATTTTCATGTACTTTTTGGCCTCTGTCTCTTTTCTAGGAAATGCCTATTTATATCCTTTTCCCAATTTTTATTTGAGGTAGTATGTCTCTTGATTGTTGGGCTGTATGCGTTCTTGATTTATAAGATCCAAGATGCTAGTTAGATGTGTGGTTTGTAATTATTTTTTCCCATTCTGTGGGTTATATTTTAACTTTTTGATGGTGTCATTGAAACACAACAGTTTTAGTTTTGATAAGTGACAATTTTTTTTCCCCTTTGTGGCCATATCTGAGAAACCATGGCCTAATTCACATCACAAAGATAATGCTTCTGTGTTTTTTTTCCTAAGAGTTTTATGGTTTAGGTTTATATTTATGTCTTTAATCCATTTGGAGTTAATTTTTGCATGTGATAAGAAGGGCTCCATCTTCACTGTTAAGCTGAGTCACTATCAGGTTTACAGTAGAAGGAGAAATAGTAGATTACATAGATACATGTCCTAAGAGACTCTAAGATTGTAAGGTGCCAGTTTATGTGATTCTGGGGGCTGGCAGGGTGCAGCTGTAACTTGTTAGGGCAGACGGTTAGACAGGATAGGCTGGAATGTAGGCATAAGCCAAAACTGCTGTTCACAGGCAGTATGTGTCTATCAGGTCTGTGGTGAGGCCTTTAACTGACTGAACCAGGCCCTCCTCAGATTACCAAGGGCAGTTTCCCTAGTGACATAAATTGATTACAGACGTATATTTAAATACCTTCAAAGCAATACCTAGATAAATATTTAACTGAAGGATTGGGAGCTCTAGCTTTATGTCACATGCAAAGCTTGATGCATAAAACTGACCACGACAGCCTAGTCCTTGTCAGCTTGGCACCACAGCCAGTCCCTTCGGCCAGTCAGTGTCCCAATATAGGGAATCAGACAGACCCACCTCCTGAGACACGGCTGTCCTGTGCACCACTGAAAACCCAGTAAGCTTTTTCCAGAAGAGCATGCAACCCCCTTGTGTGATTTTTCTCCTTTGATATCCTGTAATTTGAATACTGTGACATAAAGTTAATTTAGTATATGATAAGAGAATAGAAGGAAGAAACAAAAACACGTGCTTGTCACAGCATGTGCTGCATCCCAATGTTCCTGTCAGCAGGGGACCCTGCAGGCTCCTGGGCTTTGTAACGGCCGAGCTGTGTGTGTCAGCTGCACTGCCCAGGTGTGTGGAGTTAACACCCCACAAAGTTCACCCAGGGACAAGTCACCCAGCACCTTCCTCCGGCTGTCTGAGATCTGAGTGACAGTGTAGACGTTCACAGCAGCATGGTGAAGAGATAATCAAAAGTACACAGTGCTCATTTCTCCAGCTGGCTTATCTGCTATCATTTTCCTAAAACCCAGTGCAGAGGATACCGTGGCAAACATCATTTTGCGTCAGATCAGCGTCAGCCAGAACTGAGCAGGACTTGGAACACTTCTGTGGTTCCCCAGCGCTCGCCCTTTAGTCTCGCTGATGCCAACCGCTGCCCTTCATCAGTCTGTGGCCAGGCCGCCCAGCTCTGGCCCGGTGGGCTTTCTCCGTGGAAACCACTACTGGGAGAACATTCTCTGAGCTGATGTTCACAGTTAGAGTTAACCTGTCTGTTTCTCCCAGGGCTTGTTACCTTGACGTACTTCACATGTACGTACATTCCTGTGGCTGGGCATTCTTGTTAGGTTATATGCCACTTGAATGCAGAAACAATTGTATTCTGTGTGTTTCAAACAATGTTGGTAAAGCACCTCACATGGTATTTTTTTTTTCCAAAAAAATATTTATTGAGTTGAATGATGGAGAAATAATTCGCTCTCCTTACGTAAAAGTGTATTTCAAGCCACACTCTGTCCCCTCATCCCATTCCTCTGCACCCTGGCAGACTATGTGGGGGACATTGGAGTGGACAGATATTCTGTGCTTACATGGTGCAGAGTGCATGCCCTGGTTCAGTGAGAGAAATCTCTTGATTACTTTTGATTTTATTTTAATTCTTTTAAGATTTATTTATGTATGCATACAAGAACTGTGGTATAGGCCTGAGATGTGGAAGAATGAGAGGATTCACCAGAGAGAGTGGGGAGATGAACAGGCAGATTTACTGAAATATATTGCTGAGGGGAATAGTCAGGAGAGGTCTGCTGGGCCATGTACCTGGGTCACTCCCTGGCTGGGGATGGAACTTGTGCTTCAGTGGTTGCAGATAGCTACATAGTGCTGCACACCAACCCCATGTGCCACCGAGGAGGCCTTTGGTTAGTTTTTAGTTTATAAAGTGATTATGCGCCTATGTAACAGTTCACAGAAACTGGAGGTACACCCTAGCCTGGCTGTGCCCGCCCCACCCATCCTCATGCAAGAGTGTGCCTACTGCACAAAACAAACTTGCTTTCCTTTTGGCCTAACAGTATCTTGTAAGTATGCTATTAATAATAAGTTTTTTTTTTTTTAAAGATTTATTTATTTGTGCATACAGAACTGGAGCACAGGCCAGAGGCTCAGGGGCGGTGAGAGGCTTCACCAGAGACAGAGAGGGGAACAGAACAGGCAGATCGACGAAGTACACTGCTGAGGGGAGCAGCGGGTGGGCCAGGAGAGGTCTGCCATACCATGTGGTCACCTCCGGGGCAGGCGGGAATCGAACTCATGCGGAAGCGGCTTTAGATTCTCAGTGCTGTGCTTTAACCCGCTGCGCCACCAGGGAGGGCCATAATAAGCTTTTTTAAGTTACAGTTTGCTGCCAGTTGTATCATTGTCCATGTTCATGTCTGTACACTTACTATTGTTTTCTCTCCCTTACCATCTCAGCAAGCCTGGAAAAGTTTGAAATCCCAGTAAAAATTCGTTTGAGCCCTGAACCGTGGACCCCTGAAACTGGTCTAGTGACAGATGCCTTCAAACTGAAACGTAAAGAGCTGAAAACGCATTACCAGGCGGACATTGAGCGGATGTATGGGAGAAAATAGTAGCCTCTTTCAGCTTCGGTTTGCTACAGGGAGCTCAGATCAAATAGGAAAATACTTGAAATGCACGTCTCAGACTGTGAGGCACACTCCATTCCTCATATTAAATATAAACTGTTATTTCTCATGGCATCACCATTTTTAACTGACGGGATTAGTAAAATACTAAGACAGCAAACTTGTGTCTGTCTCTTCTTTCTTCCTCTTCCAGTTGCTTCACCATCTAGGACTGCACTTGTCGGCATGACGCCTCCCGAGTCACTTGGGGAACAGTGATTTTAAAACCTCAAGTTTTTAAACATGATTTATATGTTCTGTATAATGTTCAGTTTATAACTTTTTAAAGTTTGGATGTATAGAGGGATAAATAGGAATATAAGAACTGGTTATTTGGGGGGTTTTTTACTTACAGTATTTAAAAATGAAAGGGTATGGATGTGAAATTATGTAAATTTCAGATGCTTATAAATCAAATCATTGTTGAGCAAAAGACTTGTTGCTGTGTAATTATTGTCTTGTATGCATTTGAGAGAAATAAATGTACCCGTTCTTATGTTTTAAGAAATTGAGACCTTGTGAATATATACCTGACAGCGTCTTCTTTATTTATTCTTTATTAGAAAAGATGAAGTTTGATTGATGCTGCATGAAACAATAGAAATAGAGGGTGATGGCTCAGTAGTAGAAGAGGAAACGGGAAGAAAATTAGTCTCTGGTAGCTGAGCCTCAGACTATGCTGCTGTCTAGTTAACTCTTGACACCAGAATAACACCCAGACTTAAATGGAAGCAATTCTGAAAGCTGAGGTAGGATGTTTAAAGCAAAGAATAGAAAGTGACTATTGTAACGCCCATATGTACAGAGTTGTCTGTGCTATATAATGTGCATAATGGCACATTAATCATACAAAATTGCTCTGTCTCACTCCCCTACTATTAGCCCAGTTGTTTAATCATGGATATCATTCCAAATTTGGATTTTTCTTGGATGGTTTGCACGGGGGGTTGGGTAGAGTGTGCACACCATTGTCAGTGCCTGTTGGTAGCTTATTCAAAAAGCACCTTGCTCCTTTTGGTCTTCTGTCCACATTATTAAGATACATGAGAATCGAATTGACTTTATAATGATGAGTGAAGCTTTAATTTGTGGGTTTTTATGTCAGTATGGAAGTTATTAGAGCGTCTAAAAACACTGCTGGTGTGACATTACATCCTTGTGTGTGCTGCGTGTCTGGTGTGTGAGTGTGTGAACCATGGATCATTCTTAAGTTAGCAGAGATGCCCGCCCCTTCTGGACTTCAAAAATAAGTGTTGTGTTTTCCATGCCATGCTACTTTCTTGATTCTCAGGAACTTTGGGCCTCAAGAGGCAAACAGAAAGACCAACACACACGGAAAGATGAGAATGGTTCTCTTTAGATGGAGAAAGGACGAGTTGAGGACCCAGAGCAGTAATTTGACGGTGCAATATGCTGTTTGGTGTCAAACTTACGTGTATTCTTGTATGATTGTATTATGTTTTGAATGCTTTTCTGTTTGTCAAAGTTTAATACTTCATATTTTTTTTGAAAAGTGAAAAGGAAACCAGGATGTTGTGGCTTGAAAATTTTCAATCCTAAAATGCCAGATATATCAGCACAACGTGCGATTAAAAGCAAGTTGAGTCAGTCTTCTTCAAATGGCTGTCAAAGCCATCTTTGTGATTTGAAGACTCTTACAATACTTTTTGAAATGAAGTTGGTAACTTTAAAATAAATGCCACCTAGCAGCTGTAAATTTATTCTTAAGAAATACTGGCTGAAGCAGAAGATAATGGGGCAGAAACTAGGAATTCCAAAGTAAATTGCTAAAGCTGATACACACGTCTGACTTCGACTACCGATCCTTAAAGAGTGATCAGTGTGAAAGATTGTTTTCTGGAAATAAGCGGTGGAAGCATCATGGATCATCCTTAAGTTAGCAATACACAGCTCAACCACCCGGCTCCCCATCCCAGCCCCTGCTGGGACTGGAGTTTAAACTACACTCAAGGTTTTTTCTGACATCAGGATAGAGTACAACATCTAAGTGCACGCTTTTAAGTAGTGGATTTGATACCCATAATCTCCAAAGCTTGCAGTTTTGTTTTTTTTTTTCCTGCAATGACTGAAAAGACTAACCTGGAAATACACAAGGTTTTATAGTTTGTAAACAATTCTTGTGATATGACTAATTTTTTTTTTAAGGAAAAATAGAATGTGTGAGTTCTTTTGTAAGAAAATGACGCACATTTGTGATATTTTAAAGGGGATCCACTTTTAAATGGCATATCTTGGACCATGCAGAAATGTAACGTGCCCATTCTATCCTTAGCATTGGTTATTTACTGTCAATGTATCCTTGCTGACTGCTGCTTTCTGCCTGAAGAAGCTACATAACTACATGGCATGGACTATTTATTTGTAACTTGACATGAGTTTGAAGAATAAAGATGTTTTTAAAAAGTTTTCTGATAGTAAATCTTAATCATTTACCCATAAAGAAGATCTCTCTTCATAAAGTCAAACTTTGACATTCCTGAAATACTTGTTGAACAGGAGTTTGGGGGGGAGTTTTTGACCTGGCAATCCATTTGGAGGGAGTTTTTTTCCCCCCTCCCAAAATTGTTCCAAATTGCCAAGGAACTTTACTGTCCCAACCTTTCTCCAGTTCTTCCTCTCCATTTCTCTTGGTCTTGACCACAGAGCAGCTATGTTGCCAGCATTATAAATGTAGAACACAATATTTACACAACATGTAGTGATGATGCAAAAATGAATGGGTTGCCATTAAAATGCACGGGGTAGGGGCAAGTGGCTGTGGGATCCCAGGGTGGGGGAGGATGAAGTCTGTCCTGGGTTCCTGCCTCAGAAACCGACCCCTCCCTGCCCTCACAGATTAGGGAGTGTGTTTCTGGCAGATCAGGTGTATGTAAAAGCAGGTCTTCCAACAACTCTGTAACCAAATGTAAGAGCTAGCAGCCTCAGATATAAACTTCTCCAATGTTTCTTTTGAGCCTTGGTTGTATTAACTTAGAAATGGAGCCTTCTGGAAATGCCTGTTAAGACAGTAAATATGTACACTTGTATAGCCTGATTTAGAGAGAGTATGTTACCGTCACTCTAGACCCTTCTCCACAAACTCGCCTCAGATCCCCGCCTACTTAGTGCCCTGGCCAGCAAGGCAATGTCCTGTGTCAGTCATGCCGGCCCGGCGCCCTAAGGTGGTGCATGGTTCTCTAGCAGGTGTTTGAAAGCTTTTTTGAGAGCATAAAAATGTTAAAAATACTGGCCCTCCCTGGTGGCGCAGCACTGAGAAGCTAGCCACAACTGAATACAGGTTTGATCCCGGTCCCCAGGGGTGACCCACATGGTGCAGCAGGCCTCTCCTGTCTCGCCGGCTGCTCCCCTCAGCAGTGTACTTCGTCGTTCTGCTCCTCACGCTGTCTTGTGAATCCTCTCACAGGCACCACTGGCCTGTACCCCATTTCTGTATGCATAAATAAATATGTTAAAAATGTTAAAAGTACTACCACAATCCCATGTGAGTTTAAGACATGAGTCTGCATCTAATGTTATATGTACTTTTCTAGTTAAGATTAGGCTTCACAAGACACTTAACAGACCCCATCCTGCCCACACTTACTGGCCCCTTTGATCACGCTTGACTTGGGACTCATTCAGAAGACACTTCTCCTTAAGGGATAGATTCTTTATGAAGAAAGGTTAGACTGTGTAAGGGCTTTGTTATTTCAATAAAATGAGGTCTCATCTGGTAGCCTTTTCTGCCTGAGGTGCTTTTATAGAAACGATTCCTGCCCAGAAAGTTTTTTATTTTTAATTTTTGATGCTGAAAGTCTTTCCATTTTGTATTTACAGTGTTTCTTTCTGAAATATGCCCTCTCCTGTGAAGAGAGGGATGAGGCTTCACAGAACTTGTGTGGTCGGAGCAAACTACAGGGGGAGGTTGCCATAATGGCCACATTTGTTCACACTGGGCACTGGCATCTCCAGTCTAGACTGTTGGTGTTGGCTACAGGATGCCTATGATAAAGACTTGCCCTCACTTTTCACATTCATAGCATTTTCTTTTTAACTCATGGGAACTCTGACTTCTTGAATAAGGTGGTGGGGGGGTGTTTCCTGGGGTCTTCATCATCTTTCATAATCATGTTTTCACACCTGTATGGTTTCCCACATGTTAAGGCGGCAAGTATCACAAGATCTGGTCTCAGGGCCTCTCTATGATGTGACACATTTATGGAGGACTCTGGAAAGCTTTGGTAGCTTTGTTTTATGTGGTTTGCACTGAGTGATATTTGTAAATCAGCCTTTTTTTTTTTTTTGGCTTGGAGGTGGCTCTCTTCACCCCTCATCGAACATTCCCTGCATGTCTTTACCTTGGCTTCTCGCAGTGTGCACCTGTGCAGTTTTTCATTTTTCTAAGGACACAATCCTTAGATTATATCTCCAAATAGGTGCTACCCTGAGGCTCTAGGAGTTAAGGCTCCAACATATTTGGGAGGTGGGGGTGGTGACGCAATGACACAATTCAGTTTGAGACATTACCAAAAGCTGTAGGTTGAGATGCTTGGCACAAAGACCTCCATTTGGAAGCTGGTTGTAATAACCATAACAAGACATGCCCCTCTTAACAGACAAATACTATCTAACAGTCACTCAGTGGGTGATCCATAATATGACCTTTAGATCATGGGGATTATTTCATAATGTGAATCATCTGGGGCAGTTCAGTAGGAACACTGGGCCACAGGAAGGGTGTGTGTGCGCCTGTCTGTGTGTTGCGTTGTATGTGCCTGTGTGTGTTGCATGCACATTGCAGAAAAAAGCCTGAGGGAGATGTCTCATCTTGGTAGTGGTCCTGAACTTTGATAACCTACATTTCTCTTTACTAAATATCTTTTATAGTGGCGTTACTGCTTTGATAAAAATCCAAGCTTATGAGAATTGCTTAAAGCTCTTTTTCTGGCAAATTAATAATTCTTTTTCTTAAATAACAGTTTATTTTTACATTGTCTTGTGCATTTTTTCATCTCAGAAATTAATAACTTTTATGCAAAAATTTTGGGGAAAAAAGGAGTTTTGATGTTTCATACGTTGGTAAAGAAATGATCAGAAAACACTTTTATTCCCTAATCTCACTGTGTCTATATATAAATTTCCCAGGGCTGCTGGAACAAAGTACCATAAGCTGGCGACTTTAGGTAACACAAATGTATTGTCTTACAGACCTGGAAGCTAGAACTCCAAAATCCTGGTGCAGCAGGGCAGGCGCCCTGTGAACCCTGTGGGGGACCCCCCCAGGGGTTGTCTGCTACCATCTTTCCTTGGCTTGGAGGTGGCTCTCTTAACCCCTCACCGAGCTTTCCTCCCATGTCTATCTTGGCTTCCTACTGTGCGCACCTGTCCTCTTTCTAAGGACACAATCCTTAGATTATATTAGGGTCCCACCCTAATCTGAACATGGGTGAGGATGCCATCTCCAAACAGGTGCTACCCCTAGGCTCTAGGACTCCAACATATTTGGGAGGTGGAGGTGGAGGTGGTGACGCAATGACACAAGTCAGCGCATAACTGTACCCGTTTTGAATGCTTCCTTCAATGGTACTTGGGCTTGTCACTCTTGTCCTGCTAATTCTAGCTCTATAATGTGGAATTTAGGTGCCTTTTATCTTGCATTAAAAAAAAAATCTCTGGCAATTCCTTTACTATACTGTGGCTTTGTTTTCACATTTTTAATTTGCCTTTCCCCCTTATTTGCTGTTTCATTACTCTATGTGAGCTTTTTTTTTTTAAGATTTATTTATTTATGCATACAGAACTGGGGTACAGGCCAGAGGTGAGGGGCGTTGAGAGGCTTCACCAGAGGCAGAGCGGGGAGCAGAACAGGCAGAACAACAAAGTACACTGCTGAGGGGAGCAGCAGGTGGGTCAGGAGAGGTCTGTCAGCCATGTAGGTCAGCTCTGGGGTCAGGGATAGAACTCGCACTAAAGCAGATGCGGCCAACTTGCAATGCTGTGTCCTAACCTGTTGTGCCACCAGGGAGGGCCTTATGTAAGCGATCTACAGCACAATTCTGTGGAACTTCTGCCCCCAGACTTTTCTAAGATCTTCACCCAATACCTGTGTCACCTCCTCCTGCTGTTTGTCACAAGCGTACAGATGGCACTGAGGGGTATTGGCTCCAATACAGGACTTTCTTTACGCTGAACACAAACTCAACACACTGGGGACGGCCAACCCGAAGTCCCCAAAAGTACCTCAGTCCAAGGTGACTATGTCTTAGCCACGGAGGCCACCAGAGCCAATGGGAGCCGGGCTAACGTCCTGGAGGCTTTTGCTCTCCACTGGGAGCAGTGCTCAACCGAAGAAGGGTGCCCCTCCTAGCTAATAGCAAGCAGATTCTCGGGGTCCCCAGGAACTCCAGTGGTCTGAGTGGGCCCTCTGCGGCCATAGGGCACATCTGTTGTTTAGAGAGCAGTGGGTGGAGAGGCAGACTGGTGTGAGGACATGCCTGTGTCAAACCTTTGCATGCTGTAAGCTCTGGGCTCCGATATGGCCTTTTAAAGCCACTCTGGGTGGCCCTCGGGTCTCTGACCTCATTGGTAACTCCAGTCATGCTACTGCTTATCAGGTCTTGCAGCATCTTCCTCCTGCCAAGACTTATCAGTCCTTGCAACTGTTTGCAAGAATTTGGTTGTTTACACTCTGAAGTTACAGTCAGTTAACATTGCATCATTAATTTCAAAACACACACTTAATAGCAAATTATATCCAGGGCCCTCCCTGGTGGCACAGTGGGTTAAAGTGCAGCACTGCGAAGCTGGCCCAGCTGCTTCAGTGTGAGTTCGATTCCTTGCCCCAGAGTTGATCCACATGGCGCGGCAGACCTCTCCTGGCCCGCCCCCTGCTCCCCTCAGCAGTGTATTTCATCGATCTGCCTGTTCTGCTCCCCACCCTGTCTGGTGAATCCTTTTACCGCCTCTGTACCTCTTGCGTGTACCCCAGTTCTGTATGATCAATAAATAAATCTTTTAAAAAAATCAAATTATATCTAAAAAAGTTGTCTATAGCATATGCACCTAATATTGTTTTCATGTTTATTGGTATCAGGTCAAATGGTATTTTCCCCCAGATTATCCATTTAAAAAAGTGTAGATAATTTTAAAACAGATTCCACAAGAAACGGGAAATTCAGAAAGATGTTTTCTTTCTGTCTTTTTCCCGAAAGTTACTCAGTTCCCTTTTGGCTTTGATGTTGGCTGGTTTTCCAATTCTGGTTCCTGGCAGGGGCTGTGGGGCTGCCCCATCACCCTTTGCTCCCTACCCCGCCCCCCCAGGGTTAAGGACGCTCCTGCATAATAAGGTAGCAGCATGAATGTCCTTTAGAGACCAGCTGCACCTCCATTTTAATCATGATATACTTGGAGAACAACTTTTACTTCAA